TTAAAAGTAATTTTACCTGTTTATTTTTACTTTTTTAATATGGTTATTAGAAACTTTAAAATTATAGATGTGGCTTACATCATATCTCCATTGGACAAACCATCTTAAATCTTGTTTCTGGAAGAGTAGGAGACTTGTGCAACATTTCTAGCCAATCCACACATCTCAAACACCACTCAGATAACCAAGGAAAAATCATTCCTCACATTAATTATGTTAATTGAGCAAATTTTAGGTGTTCATCAAATATAAAGAATATCTCTGTACTTTGGTAGCTATCTCTGCCATGTCAGCTTTTAATTAAAGTCTTTCATAGGCTAATTACCCCTAGAGAATTTATTTCCAGTTGGGAAATACACCCGTCCACCCACCCACCCTAAAATCCCTCCACACATACACACACATATCATACAGTGTATGGTGAAATATTTTAAATGACAGACAATATAACACCCTGCTACATGTTAGAGCACAAAATCTTACTTTCTAAGTCTCCACTTTTACTGAAGGCTGCTGATTAGCAACCTTTATTGCATTCCTACAGTATATAAATCACTGGATTAAGTAGTTGTAGAAAGCAGAATAGTATAATAACAATAGCAAAGATTTATTGAGTGTTTCTAGGTGCCAGGCACTGTGCTAAGTGCATTACATGTTATTTAATTTAATCCTCAAAATAACTTGATGAAGGAGGTATTGTTATTATCCTCATTTTGCTTCAAACACCTTGTTGTGTTCCTGACCTCATGGCCATTACCATGAGTTGTTTGAACATGTATATTTGCAATGCAGAGACTTTTCCAAAATAGAGTAGTTCCATTGGGCCACTTGTTATATAAATAGAAGTTCAAGCCAATGAGCTTAAAGGGATTCTTCCTCTTTTGATCCCTTTCTGCTCCTAAGATCTTAGTCTTTGACCTTAGTGTCTACCCCACAGGGTTTTGCTACTTGCTCCATTTAACTCTGTCCTTGGCTTTCCATCATTTTCACTCCTTCTTTGGATTTGGGGTCAAAGGATAGGGGAAAGTAGATTTTGAGGTCCTACACATAGAAGGAGTAGAGGGAGTAATAATGGCCCTTTTTCTTTGAGGTTTACAGCAATCTCTAAGACCAACAAACCTTTCTAGTTTTAAGGTGCCCACTCCCTAGCAAAATCAGTGGAAATTATAATAATTTCTGAGTGGTTTTGACACATCACACTGTAAGTCCAGCCCATGTCAAGTGTTGAAGATTAGAGCTGAAGATGGTAAGGAGTGATCCTGCTTCTCATGGTCACTTGGATCCATATTTATGGGAGTTCGGCCATCCTGTAGCTCTACCATCTGGAAAATGTAGCCTTCAAGATCTCTGAGTGAGGGAAATAGTATGGGGATAGATGGACAGGAAGTGACATATGTCGTTTCTGTTTACATTTCATGAGTAACACATAAAGCCCCATCTTCCTGCAAGGGGGTGGGAAGGGTGATTGGATGGGAGATTGGATGTGAGTGAGAACTAGTGACTATTACCACAGCAAGTTTTAGATTTTAGGTTATTTTTAGTGTTTGTGTCTTTGGAGGCTGTGTATATTATGCATATTTTTAACTTGAAACTGTCTCCCCATTTGAATGATTGCATGTTGAGTCAAATTCAAATATACCCTTAATCCAAGTCTGCTATTAGGAAAAACAAACAAATGAAGTTTCGAATGTGAAATAAAACTATATAGGGAGTTTTATGAGTGTTCCAGTTTCATTTTCTTTTAAAGTTGTTCTTTGTGATAGTGTTTATTCAATTCCTGAAGTGTTGTCAAGTAAGTAGTATTTAATCTGTGAAAATTTTCAAGTGGCCCCTTTTTCCTTCTCAAGGTTTTTTTTTTTTATTTTTTATTTTCTCAAGTGTTGCTGTAGTCATTTTAAGATTGAAATGAACCATTTGATTTTAAAAAATTATTTATGGCACATCAAGTAGCACTTAGTGTTTTGTCACAACATTGAAACTGTTTCTGAAGCCTACGTAAAATACAGCAGAAAGGTCGGGAGGCTTATGTATAGAACTTCTAGAAACATACCTCACCATTGGAACTGGTTATAATTCCTGGGTGCTGACATAAAGATTAATAATATTTAACTCTGATTTTGGCAATTTTTGCCAATTTTATTACCATAGCCCCTTTCTTTCAAGTTATTACCTGGAACTGAAGTGATAACAAATGTTTGATATTTTATACTGCCAGATAAAAGGTTAAATTTTCATATGTTACACGCACTTAAACACACGCACACACACAAATACACATACAACTGGGTCAGAAGGAAATGAATAATTCTCCTAAAATGAAAAGATTGTCCTAGTTTTAACATTAGGTGACTCATTCCCATGTGGTTAAGTCATATGTAAAAATTGGAAATTCAACCTATGGGTCTTTGTGCACTGCCTATATCATAGAGTTCTAATTTTCTTTTGTTTTTCTGGGAAATGATGGTGCTCTTTGCCTTGCCAAGTTTTATTATTGAGTCAACTGCCAAAGTTTAAGAGAGAGAGAGAGAGAGACTCAAGGCCCTTAAAATTATTTGGTGTTGAGTGAAGAGGCAGAGAAAGGTATTTCATATTCCCAAACATTTTAACTTTTATGTTTCTACCTGATGTTAGAATATAATCTAACTTTTTAGGCTTTTCTGATTCTTTTATAAATGATGTACACTGTTGAGTGAAGTCTGAATATTCATGAGGAGAACCCAATTTGAAACTCTATATTCTAATTTTTAATAGACGGTATTCTTCCTTTCCTGATCTTCCCTGTATTTAAACTTCTGTGCATCAGGAGGCCTGTGTGCCTGCTCGTGGTTTTGCGCCATCTGGAAGTTAAAATTTGATTTTAGAAATGATGTCATACTTGCTTACTGCAAACTAGGCTAATGTTGGTTGAGAATTGGATGCAGTTCAGGTCAAAGTTTTGTAAAAAAAAAAAAAAAAAGACCCTTAAACCTAGTTTCTTGATTCTAGGAGACTGCAAAGTTATAAGAGTAGCTTTAAGTGATTGAAGGTCATGAGTCAAATTCTTTTGAAGCTAAATTAGTGCATTTGGGTACATGGAAATTAAGCTCCCCAATGAAGACATTAGCTGGCACAGACTCCTTCCTACCATGTAAGGTTTGCGAGCAGTATGTTTGTCATGGGCATCCTCACTGTTTTACTCCTGGAGAAATACTCTTACACCTAGAACTTTGTCTCTTCTAGGCTCAGGAAGGTCTGGCAGGGCACTGAAAGATCACACATGATGAGAAGGCACAGTAAATGTTAAGCATGTTAGTCATCAACACTGAGTCTCTTTTTCTAAACTCTCTACAGCAGCACTTACTATCTCTTATAGTGTAATTTATTTATATCACCATTTTGGATGTTGAGCATTTCCTCTAGTCCAGATATAGACCATCCATGTTTGATAGCTAGAATGCAAGGCTAATGGTATCACAGTTTGTTCTCAGATTCACACTGAGTCCTGGTCAGCCTGTGGGAAATCTCCACAATTGAATGTAACCCCTTATAGCCACTACTATAATCTGGAGTGCTCAACATGTCCTACCAATTTCCAAGGAACCCACCAAATTCCACCCTTAATGTATAAACTAAAAATCGCCTTTTTTTTTTTCCAGATAGGATAAAAACCCAAAGAGAAGTATTGATGTTATTCTAGGTTGGTAGATGGAGATGACTTTAAATAAAGATAGGCCATTTGAGAATCTGGGATGCTTAAGCTTTAGTGCAACTGGCTTGAATTTTCATTTAGTCAAAGGAAGATTCCCAGGACCTGAGTATCCCCTACACTTCTCATTCCCTAGATTTCTGTGGCCCTTATGTAAGAAGAGGCACAGCTATCAGATGTTTAAGCAATCTGCTGTTTTCACCCTGTGTAGTCACAGAATGTCCATCTTGTCTCATAATGTAGTCAGGGTCCTTCTGCCAACTGGGCTTCAATTACTTTTTCACCCTTTCCCTTCCCAGGAACTCACTGCTTATTCCTCCTCTCTGGTACAGAAACTGGAGAAACTCTCTGCTCATCAACCTTCCATCCTCCTTGCCCTTTAGAAACACAAACCCCCTTGCACAGGGGTAAGAAAAGGAGTTTCTACTCTGATAACTTTGTCATCTCTAATTTTATCACCCTTTCCTAATGTAGTCGATCTAAGATTGATTTTTGCCTTTAAAATCATAAAAATGTCAGTAATTAGGGAGTTTTATGGATGGGAAAACTGAGACCTGAAGGCTGATGGGGGAGTTATTTTCCCTGATGATCATAGCTAGATAGAAGCAGAATCCAGCCTAAAATCAAAGTGTCCTTTCTCGTGTTCCAACTTGCCTTTTGAATCTGTGTCCTGATAGTATTTACACATCTATTTATTTTGGCTTATTGTGCTATTCCTTCCTCTTTTTTATTTCTTAAATTTTTGTCCCCCCGCCCCCCGCCATCCAAATTTTACTTGCTAAAATTAGTAGTATAATATAAAACATACTCAACAAGATTTGTGATGAGATGCAGTAGACCCCTACTTACCTATCCTATTTCTTCTTCCCCAAGACAATCTGTTTTAACTCTTTTTGTCTGATTATTTTGATATCTCTAAGTAACATGCTTCCATCACTACTTCTTGATTGTTGATGTGGCTACTACTATCTATCATATTTCTGGTATGGAGAATGAGGATTAAATTCTTCCACCACCCCAAAAGCTGGAAGGGTGGGGTTCACAACAGGGACACATACTACTATTTCATAATATATTATATTTCATATAAACTTTATATTTAAAAAAGCATCTCTGTTCAGATACACACATATAACAGGACTTTAAGGTAGATACAGGCTGTTAAACACAGGGCACTGAGGTGCTTCTGAGCAATGGTTTGACCATGCTGTGCTGAGAAGGCACACTGATGCCCCACTCCCTCCCAAGGCATGACCGATGGTTACTGATGACCATGGTGTAAAACTGCAACCTTCTTTCTTTTTCCTGACTTCAGGTAGATGCACTGAGGTTACGATTGGAAGAGAAAGAATCTTTTCTCAATAAAAAAACAAAGCAGCTGCAGGACCTCACAGAAGAGAAGGGGACACTGGCCGGAGAGATTCGAGACATGAAGGATATGTTAGAAGTGAAGGAAAGAAAAATCAATGTTCTTCAGAAGAAGGTGAGTAGCTGACATAAGCCCTTTAGGTTGGGAATTGGTATCATCTATGTTTTGTCATTTCAGAGAAATTTTTGAGCACATGAAAGAGGAAAAACTATTTTTTAAGAGTTTTAGATCAGGAAGTATATACTTTTTACTTATTGTTGGTTGTATCATGCCACTTGTAGCATGGCCTGATGAATTTTCTGTTTGATTAACTGAAAACTAGTGATGGTTCTTTTTATATTTTCTAGCTTAAATATAGAAATAATTGTACAAATTCATATTTACATCTAAAATTGATATATATATCTAAATTATACATTTAGATAGATATCTAAATTTAGATATATACCTAAAATAATAACAAGTCTGAAAAGTTAGTTCATTTTTTCTTTTTTCTTACTGAGTGTTGAGCAATGTATTCTGTGGGTCTTAAAGGTATTTTAAATGTATTTTTTATTTATGTAAATTGTTTTAATTTATGTAAATTTTAGTAGATATTACCTTGCTACAGATTTTTTTATTTTTTATTTTTTGGTGTGGGAGGAGTAATGTTTACACCTATTGCTTAATTGAATCAGTGAGAGAATATGCAATAAGTTCCAACAATAGTTACCTAACACAGAAGATGCTTGATTAAGCTAGGGCCCTTCTTTCCTTTTTTCTTTTTTTTTTTTTAAGATTTTAATTTATTTATTAATGAGAGACACACAGAGAGAAAGAAGCAGAGACACAGGCAGAGGGAGAAGCAGGCTCCATGCAGAGAGCCTGATGTGGGACTCGATCCTGGGTCCCCAGGATCACACCCTGGGCTGCAGGCGGCGCTAAACTGCTGCGCCACTGGGGCTGCCCAATTATTCAAACTTTATTGAGAATTTTCAAATGAAGATAAAACCAAGCCCAGGGCCCTTCTGAGGATGGCACCCTGTGCAGCTACACAAGTCACATGCCTATGAAGCCACCTCTAACCCCTGTGGAAGTGATCAGATGGATCATATTATTAATTTGTTTCTGTCGAGAAACAAACAGGGCCTTTTACAGACAAGGCCCTGGTTATCTCCTCTTGTAGCTCCAGCTAATTGATAAGGTGTTTAGAAGAGAGAACAGATGATATGACTGAGAACCCTTGAATCAGTGAGGCTTTCAAGGGCAGATGGGACCAACAGGAGACAGAGTGGCAGTTCTTGGAGCAGGTACTAAGGATTCAAAAGAAAACTTATTATTTAAAATCCCCAGCAGTCTATAATGATGAAAGCTGATATTTATTGTACTTATGTTGAACACTGTACACTAGATACTTTGCTATACTAGTTACATGCACTGTTTATTTATTTTTTTAATTTTTATTTATTTATGATAGTCACACACAGAGAGAGAGAGAGGCAGAGACACAGGCAGAGGGAGAAGCAGGCTCCATGCACCGGGAGCCTGATGTGGGATTCGATCCCAGGTCTCTAGGATCGCGCCCTGGGCCAAAGGCAGGCGCCAAACTGCTGCGCCACCCAGGGATCCCTGTTTGTTTATTTTTGACCATAATCTTGTGAGGCAGGTATAGTTATTAATCCCAGGAAGCTGGAGGACACTGAAGCATATGGTCGGCTTGCCCAAGATCATGCGATCTAGAAAGAATTTTTTTTTTTTTGTCTTTAGGAAAATAGAATAAAATGGTTATTGCAATTTAAGAGAATAAGCCTCATTTTCCTTTGGACCTCAAGTTGTATGATGATGACACCAGGTGTCAATCAGTGAAGAACATTACAATTGCTAGTTTTAAAAGGAGTTGAACTAAGTGCTCTTATTCTTGAGGAATAAATGGCATTCATGTTCTCGGTAAAGATTTTGGGAAGGTACTTTCAGTGCATAAGTCACAAATGATATATTTGCAAAAATTTTATACTTTTTGAGCACTTTTTGAGCAAAATTTTATACTTTGCCCCAAAAGTGAGATTCAAAGATTTGGGAACTAGTTTGGAAATTCTAGAACAAAGCCAATTGTATATTATGGCTCCTTTGGGCAACTTGATTATAACCCCACTTACTTAAACCAGGTAAATAATGGATTAGGAAATATTTCATGTGTATTTAGAGGGGTTATTCAGCTTCAAGTTTCTTTCACTGAGTTTTTACCAATCCATTTGAGGAGGAAATGATACCAATGGCAACATAGTGAAAGGGACAGAAATTCTATTATAACTGCACTGTGAAGGAGAGATAATCCCCAAAGAAGTAATGCACACAATTCCGAAACCTACTCAAAATGTGGAAATACTACAGAAGCTAATGGGCCAATGAAACATTGTCTTTGGGACTGGAGACTCTTTCGAGTTTTGACCACATCCAGCATAATTGGCTGTTTTAGGGCAGGCAGGCCTGGATTGGAACAGCGTAAGCTTTGGATTAGGGTGTGTTGGTATGGAAGAAATAATAAACTTATGTCAATGTCAGACATGTAATATTACTTAATATTTCTTTCTTATAGACTCTTTGGCAACCAGCACTGTGTTCTGATGCCAATAGAAATGGGTATGCTCCTTCATAGCCACGTTTAACCTGGAGAAGCTGGGCTTGCACCTCGTATCTGTCAGCCTTGCCTTCAGAGCTCTGGGTCTCAGAAATCTTGTGTCCGCCATAAGCCACGTGAATAGGTCACATGTCTAGGCATCAGGCATGGACACAATGCTCTAAGCATTTTGTTATTTGAGAAAGGAAGTTAAGTTGAATAAACAGAGAACCCCAGGTGACACAATATCTCTGAGCAAGCTTTGTAGGAAAACAGCAGTTATTAAGCATGGATTTTTGGTTCTATGGCCATATTTTTGGCTCTACTCCATAATTCCCAGATATGGAATTATTTTAGTAGGGACAAAAATGTATATGTATGAAAATTGTTAAGTGGAGTCTGTGATGCCGAATTCAGAAGACCAGTACAGTTTTCAAGCTGCAGCCTTTGCATTCTGTTCTCATACCTGAATTCAGACTTCACCTGATGAAGTGTTGGGTTTTGGTAGGAAATGTCATAAAACCTTGATGACATTGTACATTTGGAAAGTGTATAATGCCCAGGATTATAGAACATGGTAGCATTATTTGAACCAGATTAAATTCAGACTGTTATGTAGCTCATGCAACATAAACTTAGTACCCAAGAAATTTTTAAAAAACCAATAAGTTGGACAAAAATTCTATCTCTATTTTCATTCTAGGTCTCAGTCCCACATTATAGAACAGAGGTACTTTACTTATTAGGGGTAGAAAAACAGATGGTGATTTCTCTGGAAGCCAAGTTCACTAGCTTCATGGATTGTGCATTGGAAAGGGCAGGGAGAGGTGAGTGGAATTGGCTTCTGGGGGTGGCATCTGTGTACCTGCCCACTTCCACAGCTTTATTCTACCAATTTGGAAGTATGGCAGTGAAAATTCTGAATGAAGATAAGCTCAGAGGTAAGGATGCTACAGGAGTATTGTTATTAGCATACTGAGTTTCTTCATGAAGTTTATAAAAAAATAGTATCTGAGAAGATGATTATAGAACATAGAGATTTCCATGTTATTATGAAGTTGATGTACAGAGGACTTTCTGACTGAACTGAGCCCGTTCTTGGTGTTTAAATATCCAGTTGCACTTTTATATTTATTATTGTCAAACCTTCTATTTTTTGAACATATGGAAAATGGTATTCTTTTTCCATTTACTAAGTTTTCCTATATGTCAGTGAGTCACTACTCTAGATAGTAAAGGCTCAAAGGGAAACAGGTCATTCTGCAGCCCTCAGGAAGCTGACAGTCTGGTTGGGGATAGACATGCTTAATAGAGAGCAACATGATGTATTACCAGAAGCAAATTGCTTGATGAATGCAAAGAGCAGAAGCTAATTCTGACTACCTTGAGCAAAAGGGAATTTACGGCAAAGATATCCAGAGCCCTAGTATTTGGCCTGTAGAACCAGATTAGGAATGATAAAGAACCAGGACAGTTATAGGAGACCAAGAGAAAGGAGAGAGTGCCATGATCTCTTAACTAGGAGTGTCTGGTCAGGCGTCTTCTCTGCTGATGTCGGCCCTCTCACCTTCCTCCCTCTGCTCTTATATTACATTGTTGGTTAAGATTTAAAGTCCTGAGAGAGAGAGAGCTCCAAATTTCACACAGGTGCTTCTTATTGGCAAGATCTAACCAGACCTGCCCTAAAAGAAATCTGGGAATTGTGGTTCCAAGCTTTACACCTGAGATTTCCACTCAGTTTTTGTGTCACTTACTCAAGGAAGTCTTTGCTGACAGTGCAAGTTGGGAGAGGTTTTACCCTTTTAAAGAATCATTTCTTGGCTCAGTTTGAAATTCTGCATCCCTTTGGTGAATGTTGGCTTCCTTCCCATGGCTAATCTCCATGAGTGCCCCAACTCTGGTCATCAAGATACCTCTAGCTCCTTGCCAAATTCTTGGCAGGTGATGGTCCTCAATCAATACACACTGGATGAATAAATTATATCAGCAAATTCTGAATGAATGAGGACTTGGGAGAAGAGAAATCATTTTGAGATCTACTCCTGGCCCATGAATATTGTTAATTGTGAGAGGAGTCTTTTGCCCTAGTGAAGTGTCAGACTCACTCATTGTTCCCAGGACAGTATGTTCTATATAGGCTGCAAGATGGAACTATCCCAGGGATAATAAAGCAGGATGGGGAAATAACTGTTGTCCTACCCACATCTAACATCTGAAACCTTGGTTCTGTTATCCTGATAAGGTAAAAAGGGATTAGGGCTTGAATAAGGGAACTTAGCTATTTTTGCTTCCTTTTCCTTTTTAATAAAAAGAAAATGTGGCATTTATCAAGAATATTGTCTTATTCTGCAAACAGAATAAAGCTTCCTCCTCCAGTTCTCACTTCTAACTTACTGGATTGTTAGTGGTGAAAGTGATAAATTGAAATTATTGATAATTTTAAATTATGACCATGCAAATTATAATTTTTTATAACAAACGGATTATCTACTGATGATTATGCCCTCACTACACACCA